CATCCCAAACTATCTCATTTAACTACTTAAATCAAGGGTAAATACAGTTAATTTAAGAAATGTTTATTTTTTTTCTAGATTGTTTTTCCAGAATAAGACTGTAGTTTTTTCTTTTCTTATTATTTTAAATATCAATTATTCTTATTCTTATTCCATTGGCAAAAAGTTGCACTTATCTGCTATATTCAAGAAAAAATCCAGATCATTTAAGTAAAATTGACTTGGTTTGATTTTTTTGCAGTGAATCAGAACTGATCCACGACTCGTTCTGCAGACCTGCCCAGCAGCTGGATGATCCACCTCACTACACACATCTAACTCACCTATATCTAGCTCTAACCCTTTATCCAACCAACAGGAATTATTGCAAAGATTTACAGATTAATGAAAAATTTACCAAATCCAGCTGTAATGAACTCAGCCTGTCTGGGTCTGATATTTATGTTTGCTCACTGATCTGAAACAGAAAACAGATGCAGACAGACAGCCTGAGGTCATCAGACCAGGACGGCTCATAGAACCAGACCTGAAGCTCAGAGTTAAACTTCTGTAAAGGTCAACGCTCCGATACTTTCTGCTTAACCTTAAGTCTGACTGTAGCAGAAAACAGTTTGCTTTGATTCAATGATGTGAGACACCTACTTCCTGAGTTCGCCTCCCTCTGATCCTTTATTCGCTCCTTTTCCTTCACCTTCCATGAATGGAACTGTCTAAGCACCAAATCAAACCTCCTGAACTGAAGCGCCAGAGGTCTGATTATAAGGTTGGAATTTATAAATCCTTATTTATTTGGAAGTTAGTAACACCAAACATTGGTGCGGCGACCTTTTACCTGCACTGTTTGAATGTCAGGATGTTCCAAGAATAGCCTTAAAGCAGCGTAGCTCTCATCTTAAAGGTTAAAGATTGCTCAGAGTGCAGGAGCGGTGTCCACTCTGAGGACAGCTGGAACATGGACATGTTCTCAGAACGGTCCTTCTCAGAATGCAGGCTGAACTTCCCAGACCTACAAACTGCTGGTTTCAGTTGGAGCCATTAGGCAGTGATCCATGCAGGAGCGTCATGTCGCTCTAATGGAGCCACTGGCTCTGCTGCTTCAGACTCACCAGATCAGGGAGAACACTTCCAACATCAAACCATTTCTAAAATTCACAAACAAACTGAATTAAGTATAATAATATTAAAATTCTTTTTATTTAATGTGAGAATTATAGTTGCTTTACTTTTTAGTATTAAGGCTGATTTCAAGGACCAACCAAGGACAGGTTACCACTTCAGTTAGCCAGCCGCCATTCAGACTCATCTGCTGGGATTTCTGATGCCAGTTTAGCAGAGCGCCTGGCTACGGAAAAGGATTAGGGCCACTGAAAAAAAAAAAAGTTAACTGATTTTAAAATTTTATTTCAGTTTAGTATGGGAATTCTGACTTTTTTCTCAGAATTCTGACTTTAATCTCAGAATTCTGACTTTTTTTATTGTCAGAATTCAGTCAGAATTCTGAGAAAAAAGTCAGAATTCTGACTTTTTTCTCAGAATTCTGACTTTAATCTCAGAATTCTGACTTTTTTTATTATCAGAATTCAGTCAGAATTCTGAGAAAAAAGTCAGAATTCTGACTTTTTTCTCAGAATTCTGACTTTAATCTCAGAATTCTGACTTTTTTTATTGTCAGAATTCAGTCAGAATTCTGAGATTAAAGTCAGAATTCTGACTTTTCTCAGAATTCTGACTTTAATCTCAGAATTCCGACTTTAATCTCAGAATTCTGAGATTAAAGTCGGAATTCTGACTTTTCTCAGAATTCTGACTTTAATCTCAGAATTCTGACTTTAATCTCAGAATTCTGACTGTTTTTATTGTCAGAATTCAGTCAGAATTCAGAGAAAAAAGTTTTTTCCATACTAAACTGAAATAAAATTTTAAAATCAGTTAACTTTTTTTTTTCCAGCGGCCCTAATCCTCTTCTGTACTTGGCAGAGTTTGATCAACTAACAAAGAAGACTGGAACAGAAAAAAAGTCACGTTTAAGTGGAAAGTGTTTCCACCGGGACAAAAAGTGCACACTTCACATTTAAAGCCTCACATGGAGTTAAAGCATCAGAGCTATCTGTGGAAATGTCTGCTACTGAATGAGGAACGGAAGAAATCATTTGATTCAGATATTCTCAGCAGAACCTGAATGTTCCTGAGAGTTCCTGAGAGTTCCTGAATGTTCCTGAATGTTCCTGAAAGTTCCTGAATGTTCCTGAAAGTTCCTGAATGTTCCTGAATGTTCCTGAATGTTCCTGAAGTTCTGAGTCATTCGGCTAAATAAAGGCTTCACTGCACATCCAGTCAACCTGGACTGCATCCAGAATTTTTCATTTCTTTCTATATATATTATGATCACACATTTAAAGGGGAAAATATGAGGTTGGATTGTGGAGGATTGTTGCTTCATTTACCAAATGAACTTGAACTAGTTTATTTATAGGTTGGTGAACTTCGTTTATTCTTTGATTAATCTGACCTGTAAACTTGAACTAGCTAATTTTTATCTGAGTGAACTGAACTTTGATTTTGTTCTTTTTAATAGACCTTTTTCACGACAACCGGAAGCTGCGTCTGAAAGGGCTGGAGCACTTCCTGTTTTACTCTGAAAAATGTCTCTCCTCCGGTGCTTTTCGTCATCCTTACTTAGTTTGCCAACACTTTCTTTCGCGGATGCGGAGGAAATCGCTGCGGCGAATTCCCCCACCAACAAATCTGTGAAAGGATACAAGTTCTTCCACGAAGAATATATCCACAGCTATCAAGGTAAGAAAATACGTAGCTTAGCGAGCTAACCGCTAGCTCCAAGATATGAGCTACACAAACATCGTAATGAAGCCTAACTTAGTATCTAAATTATGTGAAATATTGGAGACGGACATAGTTTAAACTTTTCAGTTATATTTTGACATTCTGAAATTTGTTTGCCACTACAGTTTGTGAAAAACAGCATGCTAGAATGTTATGTTAGTTCTGAGATTCTAGATGATGCTTGATGTTGAAACTATGCTTTACTTCTGCATGCCTGTAGTGTCAAATATTGTCGAGGGACAGGTAGTTGTCAGAGCTAGATGCTTCAGATCCATAAAGAAAAATGAGGAACCGCACAAGCTGCAGGTTTGAAACAGTCAGAAAGCCGGTTGGCTCTTGTTCGTTGGTTCGAGTTCCTGTTCATGTTTGACGGCCGAAGAACTTTCACGTACGACTTCTGGACTACTTAGAGCTTATTCTAACATTTTCCTGTTCAGTTGTTACTATTTGTTTTATGTTTCTGTTGCGGTTGCAACATAATCTGTGGGAATGCATGATAGGACAGATATGGCTGTTTTCTTGCCCCACATGAACAACCAGGTACAGAACAAAAACAACTGCGCCGAGACTGAGCCATTTTCTTAGACTTTTATGCTAACGCTATAGCCACCGGAAGTTGTCAAACCCCACATCCGCTTTAAAACCCGGAAGTGTGAAAAAGGTCTATTAGGAACTGGCACAACATTGAATGTTGGTGTTCTTTAAAGGTGGAGCAAATAAGACGATAAACTGATGGATGAGTGAGGAAATACGGCCAGCAGAGGGCGACAGCAACTTCCCCAGCTCAAAAAGGATGAAGTAAACACTATCTGTATGAATTGTTGATGTACATTGCTTTATTCAAACATGAACAGATGGTTCCTGTTTATTTTTATAGGCATAGTAGGAGACAGGCCAGATTATTACAGAGATATATAACAGGAGTTTACTGAAAAGCCTGGATCCTGTCTAGAATACGTTCTGTATGCGTAGGCTGGAGCACAATGCCATAGAAAAGCTATAATATGGCCTCTGCTTTTTATCCCTTCATAAACAAACGGTGAATGGTATAGTCTGTTTTAAGTTTCACACCTTAAGGCACAAACTTCCCACATCCTGCTGTTCAGCTCCATACGCAGCATTACATAAGTATGATAACTACTGAAGAGGAGGCAGAGGGAGCAAAGGGATATTAGCTTCTTTGGAGACTGGAGGTGGATGAGGCAGGAGATACCCAATGCAACATCTTGCTTGGTTGGCTACCCATGACTGGCTCAGTATCAGCCCACCATCAGCCCGGGGAGGGAGATACGTCGAGGCAGCGATGGTGGGCCCGATAAGAAGGAGGCAGAGGAGGAGGAGAGGGAAAAAGTCCAAAGGCTGATTAGGGAAAGAAACTCAAAGATAGATGCTGGAAACGGTTGTGGGGGGATGAGGGGAGCCAAGAAATGTTTTATCCCACTGGCCATAGTCCTGACAAAGTATAGAAGTAAGGATAGAGATGTCAGACCGCATCCTGTCCAAAGGGGGGGGAGGGGGGCACATGGATCAAGCAGCAGACAATTAGACTTCAACACAGGAGCCTTTGGCCACTTTAGCCGGCAGCGTTTGAGTCTTTCTGTGTGTCTAGCAGCTTCTTTTGTCTCTATTTACACCCCCCCCCCATCTTCACAGCTTTCCAATATCTGCACTCGATTCTCCTCAGTTTCCCGAAGCTTCCCTGAGGCCGATCGAGTGTCACTTGTTGGACTGCGAGGAGACTGAAGACGGTGCCGACGCAGCAAGGTCACAGAGTGGATTTCCATCAGAGGAAACCCAAAACCCTCCATTTGCCTCTTTCTCTCCTTCTTTCTCCCATTTGCAGCTAAGACACCCCGAGTGCTTCTGAGGCAAAGTCATACAGCTGTCCTCACTTTTCACAAATCATACACATTTTCTCTGCTTTGATGGCCACTGGAGATAGCATTTCTCTGACATCTTGCCGAGCGCATGCTAAGCAGCACCACTGACCTTCACGGGAAAGACCAAACAGTGCATTTTAATGGAAGGCTAGTTATATTCTTATTGCTTTACAGAAGCACAGATACTTGTTGATCACAGCCTTTCAGCGCCTCTATTAGGTTCAAACACGAACAATGATTTTTTTTCCTCTCAAGCACCATAAAATGAATATTACTCACCATTTATTTCGCCATTTTTTCTACTCTCTTTCCCGCTGGGTAAACAGTTTTCCAAGTAAACTCCATTGTGATAGCAGCTATCTCCCACACTGAGCAGAGGAGGCTTGTCCCAACACACACAGGGTGTTTGCATTATGCCACAGGGTCTGTTGGACGTGCTTGAGGACAAGCAGTCTTCCAGCCACTGGCACAGCATCTGACAGGCCGCCATGCTTGGATTGCGCTTCCCTACAACCAGGTACTCGGTTTTAAACTCCTCATTGACCTTCTGGATCACCGCGCCTGCCTGAGGAGGTCCCTTCCTCATCTGTAGGAACTGCTTCCCAGCTTCCAGGAAGGCCACCGGGACAGAGGTGTCACACAGTTTCACAATCTCATCGAAGCTCTCCATGCCCAGGTAAGTGCGTGTGGTCTCCAAGAAGGAGTCGTACTGGAAGGTGCGAAGCTGGAACGACTTGCAGCCTCTTGTGGGTTTGGTCACCTTGATGAAAATAGTGTACCTTCGTGGATCTGGGTTTTGCAGGGTCCAGGAACAAGGCACAGAGGGGAATGCTGATGATGATAAAAAGAATCCAAAGAAACGGTTTTGCACTAAGGTGGAGCAGGAATCCGACTCAGGACCGGAGGGGGCTGCATGACAGCACCCCCTCATCAGTAAAAAGGAGGCAAATAACAGCAGCAGCGCAGGAAGAGGCCGTTCTGAATGGCCAGGAATGAGAAAAACGGTTTCCATGATCTAAAGATGAGTGAAACAAGGCAGAGTCACGGCAGGTTCTGGATCAGTCCTCCAGGTTTACTGGTAAATTACAGCAAAAACGGGGTGGGAAGCGAGACGAGAGAGAGGAAATCCGGCTCTTCTCAAAGATCCAGTGATAGGCCCATGGCTGCCCTCGCCAACCCTCAGGTTAACAAGAACCTGAAAAACAGAAAGACAAGATACAGGTTAGAGTTAGGATCTGATCAGATAACAGAACAAGATCAAAACCCTTTATCTTCAAAATGGACCATCTCTATCTGCTGTGACTGCTGGTGTAATTTTCTCAGAACATCCATGACAGCAGCTCTTCAGAACATGAGCCGTTGGAAGGGAGGCAGCTGGAGCTGCAGTGTGATAAAGGATTTCTTCATTAGGCAGACTCTGATTGGTCTTTTCCTGAGAGACCACACCTCATCTGCCAGTAAAATCATTGGTCTAATTAAAACGCATTCATTAGAAAAACAGCAACACCTGAAACCATTTTCTACTGGCCCTGAACGGCGCTGCACGATCTGGAAGGTTTTTGTTTGCTTTTCTTATCTTCTTGGTGTATTATTTAGGTCTTTGTTTGCTTTCATGTTCTCACGATTGTTTCAATGCCCTGTTTTTTTCACATTTAGATTTTTTCCAGTTGGTTTCCTGTTATTCGGGACTGCTTGTGGTTTTCAGTCGCTCTCCCTGAGCGATAGTCTCTCTGTCCACCGGTTTTGTTTCTTGTTTAAGTCCCCGTACTGCTCCTGTATGAACAGATATAATGTCAGCATTGAAAATGAAAGTGAATGCTTTATAGTCCTTAGTTAGCTTGTTGCTTCTTTTAAAAACTGGACAAAAATGTTACCACTGTTTGATTTTGCAGCATTCAGCATTCAGACTTTCCTTCAATTAATCTTGTTTTGTTTGTTTGTTTTACCTGTTGCTGGTGAAGATTCTCAGTCATCCAGCTCATAGTCATTCCAAAAAGTAAAACAATCCACTGGACTTTGTTTCAAAGTTTGAAGACATTTCTCTTCCCATCCAGGAAGCTTTTTCAATTCAGAGTTCCAGGTTTTATCCAGCAGCCCAACAAAACCTTATTTTAGTTTAGAAAACATGCAAATAGAAACAGATGAACGGGTTCCCCCCTTTGGAATGGGGGTCGTCTGGCTTCTTTGTTAGCCTGCAATGCCCCATACCTGTCTATGTCTCTGAAAGGGGGTCGTTAAGGAGAATTGTTGGCCCGGCTGAATAGGGGAGGTCTTGGATGGGAAGTGAAACGTCTTCAACTCTTTTGGTTTTACACGTTGTAAAATCAGGAAGAAACTTAAAAAATATATTTTTCGAGAGTTTCCTGGCCAAGTCTAGTTTCACTAGAATCAAACTTATTTTATCTCAACAGAAAACAACACGAATACATACCAACTAATTCCATGGTTCAAAGTCAGCTACTAAACATCTGAAAAAACATCCATCTGCCTCAAAGTCATCCAGAAACCGTTTAGGCGCATGGAATAAGCACATCTCACTCAGATTCAAGTTTTTCTGAGTTTCATTCCAGCTACAAGGAGCAAAAACAGGATTTCAGTGATAAATAAATAAAGGGGACCTTGGGCTGAACCTTGAGGCACACCCTGAGACAGTAAATGGATGCCTGGGGTAGTTCCCTCCTTCTGCACACTGTGTCCCACCCTGAAGGTAATGATCTAACTAGCCAACTGAGCAATCAGATCACAGCATCACTGTGTGACCTTTGACCCCAGTATTAGCATCATTTTAGATGTATCAAAAGATTTTATATTCATCCCTTGCTGCTCTTCTCTAAAACTATGACCTCAGAGTCTATCCGCCTTTGAATGGGTCATGTGACCCAGAACGCCACTATCCGTCAGTCTGAACTCCCCTTCAACACCAGAGCTAACTAAGCTAACAGTTGTTAGCTCCGACCCTCAGCTAATCAGCTGAACTCTGGGACCAAACTGATACCAGAACTGGAACACAAAGGATGATTGGTTCATTTAGATACCGTGCAGTGCTGCCAGTGGCCTTCAGGGGGCGCTAAACCAGAGTCATTGTTTGCTTATAAAAAGGACTTACACAAAATGAATGGTTATCCTAATAGAAACTTGAACTCAAGAAAAGACAAAGGACCTTCCAGACTCCCCCCTAATTTCTGCCTGATCGCCATGGAAACGTCTTCAAACAGTGATGGGTTTCACTCTCAAAGTGAACATGTACCACTAGAGCTCCCCCTACAGGAGACCCTCTGTCACTGGTCCTGTTTATTACCTTTATTTTTTCATTCAGAGCAAAGGTTCTAGATATTGATCAAGAATAAAAGTCTACCTGAGAGTTATGGGTGTAGCCATGTTTTCGTTATCTGGTGGGGACCGTTTCCAGGAATATGCTGGAGACTTATAGCCAGCGGCGGACGAAGTGACATGTGTTGTGAATTGGCGCTATAGAAATAAACTAATAATATCTGCTCTGAGTTTCTCTCATCTGTGGAACGCCATTAAATCTCTAAATCAGTGACGTCCAGATTCAGTACTAAGGGCTGCTATGGAATAAAAAACAGCAACAGAGGATTAAAATTCTAAGCTGAGCCAAAAGGAACAAGGAACTAAATAAATGACTGAAATAAAGATAGTCAAAAAAAGTACTTAAGTACAGTAATCAAGTAAATGTACGTTGACACATTCCACCACTGCTTGTGGGGACCAGCGACTGCTCCCTGCAAAGAGACGTCCTACGGTGGGGGTCAGGTTTAAAAGAATAGTACACCCAAAACATGATTAGCCTTCATTTTCTACTCACCCCCATGCTGAACAACACTCTGGAGTACTTTTTTGATATCTCAAATGCATCTGGAGATCTGGGAGGCTTCTTGCTGTCTGCTGACATTCAAATAATGGAGGTCTATGGCGTCCGAGGCAGAAAGGTCCATAAAAGTCCACAAAAAACGTGTCAATATTCCTCCATACTGCTCGTCCAATGTATTCCAAGTGTCCTGAGTGGGTAGCGTCCAGAATTTACTCGAAACGAAGTCATTTAGAATGTTTTTAGAGCATAAACAGTAGTGTATAGGATTTCCTAAAAGCGCGTTCACGAGTCTACGGAAACCGCGGCAGACCAAACCAGATGAAAGTGCGCATTCAGCGTCTGCTCTGCTACGTCTAATGGAAACGTAGAAGAAGAAATGTGCTGTTTACCTGTGCAAAGAAAGAAACAACGAAAGAAAAATGTCTGAGGACTTCAGTGTTGAGGAAGAGCATGAGTTCTTTGCCGAGCTGAATGCGCACTTTCATCTGGTTTGGTCTGCCGGCTTCCGTAGCGTCGTGAACTCGCAGGCGCACGCTTTCAGGAAATCCTATACACTACTGTTTATGCTCTAAAAACATTCTAAATGACTTCGTTTCGAGTAAATTCTGGATGCTACCCACTCAGGACACTTGGAATACATTGGACGAGCAGTATAGAGGAATATGGACACGTTTTTTGTGGACTTTTATGGACCTTTCTGCCTCGGGCGCCATAGACCTCCATTATTTGAATGTCAGCAGACAGCAAGAAGCCTCCCAGATCTCCAGATGCATTTGAGATATCAAAAAAGTACTCCAGAGTGTTGTTCAGCATGGGGGTGAGTAGAAAATGAAGGCTAATCATGTTTTGGGTGTACTATTCCTTTAAGACTGAGGTGTGAACTGAATTTAAGCCTAAAAAAATGAATATAACACAACATACATGTGTGTGTAAACATTGCATAACAAAGTCTTCATTTTTTGTTTTTTATATTAAAACCAATTTAGAATGAAAACAGCATATGAACCAAAGCTGGAGCTAAATATTCTCTGTAAGTTTTATTTCACTAAAAACTCTTGTTGTCCATCATCCGCTGAACTGGACGAATGGTTACTCTGCCTCTGCTCTGCATTCCAGTCCTCCTCTCCACCCGATGATACAGAAAACCTTTAGTAAAAAGCTTTAAAAAAAAACGACACTTCGTTTTTCTGCCTCTTTTTCTACCTGTCTGGAGGAGGTGACAGGAACAGGAAGAGAAAGACACAGTAATGGCTCAGTTACTTCCATTAGTCTGACTCCCAGACAGCATCCGTGTATTTAATGGAAAACATTTGGCTCCTGGTTTTTCCCTTCAAACCAGTGTCACACTTTCATTTCGGCACTTATATCTATTTGCCAAAGCAAATTTAATCCTAATTTATTGGAAGAAATGTCCCTACATGCTGTATCTTTAATTTAATTTTAGTCTTCATCACTTTTTTAGGTCACTTCCATCACCTTGCAGGGTTAAATGGATTCCCTTACTCATTAGCCTCTTTCTCCTAACATATCTAAGCTCAGGAGAATGTTTTTTGGAAGATATCTTCATCCTTGTGATTAGAAAACAACAAAAACGATGAAAACAACGCAAATGTCAGTGAGGTTTGAACTACTTCATTCCTTTCAGCCTCAAATGATGATCAGGAGATTAAAAAGGACAGGTTGCATCAGCCAGCAGCCTGGGAGCAGCGATCCGTGTAAACACGCCCAACAGGCAGTCCAAACAATGGCTCAATCACCGGGAAACAACCGTCCCCGCTCTGAGACATGTAGGGAGACATGGAGACAAAAACAGCATTGATGAGAAAATGATAGAGTCACATCAGCAGCACAGGGATTACAGACTGATTAGCCGTGTAGCTCAGGGATCTGATACCACGGTGCTGCGCCAAAAAAGACGCTCATTTCTCTTCCCGTAAACAATCAGCAGGTTTCCAGTCTCACTCACTGCCACATGATCAAGGATTAACAGACTTCATAGGAAAACAAAAAGGTTTTTTCCTGAAAGCGTTGTCCAAATACTGAAAACAACTAAACATCTAAAAGGACAAAGGTTTATATAAAGTTGAATTATTGGTTTGGTATTGGCGATACTGGCCCTGCAGATCTAGGGCTGAAACAATTAATCCTAATAATCGATTATTGAAATAATCATCAACTACTTTAGCAACAGATGAATCATTAACTGGAGTATAGAGACTGTAAAAAACACCTTTAGGTGACAGAGCGACTAAGAGCAGGAATTACAGCAAGATTGGAAAAAAAAAAATGTAGCATTTATGATAAAAAATCTGTCAATCTGCTCTATCCAGAAATCGTCAGGAGGAAAAATTATAGGTTTACCA